CTGGCTCGCCACGCTCTGCGGTCGGCTGCGCGTCGCCTGCCTCGGATCCCCGTACGATTCGGTCTCCCCCTGCGGGTGGTTGCGCTGTGGATCCCCAGGTGATCCTATCCCCCCTGCTCAGAGGGACGCGCTGGTTTCCCGAGATTCCTCCGGCCGGCCCCGCGCCATGCCGTCCCGCCCAACTTCACCCCGCGCAGGAGCAGCCGCATTGCCAAGACCGACTGTGGGCTGGATTCTGAGATGAAAGCAAAGCATGTTCTTCTCCGCCGGCTTGGGCTTCTTGAGGATGATGGCCTGGTGGATGATGCCATTCTTGCCAAGTATGCCCAGCTCTTCGCGCGGCCGCTCGCGGAAGACGTCGTTCAGGCCTTCGCTGACTACTACGGCTGACAGATCCCTCGGGGCGTCACGCAGCTCCTCGATTGTGCGCCGGTCCAGCCGTTCTTAGTCCCTTCTTAGGGCTTCCCTCTCGGTCCCCTGCCGCTCCCCCTCTTTTTCATGGATTGTAACCTCAAATTGGTATTTTGGAACGTGCGGGGTCTCAACTCCCGCGCAAAACGTACGGCTGTTCGGTCCTTGGTCTCATCCGTCTCCCCCTCGATCGTCTGCCTTAGCGAAACGAAGCTTGTCGTGATCACTACTGCTATTGTTTCTGAGACCTTGGGTCCCATGTATGGAGGCGACTTCTTCTTCCTCCCAGCTTCCGGGACTCGCGGTGGCATCCTGGTGGCGTGGCGCGACTCCGAGATCTCCCTGTCCCGTCCGAAGATTGGCGATTTTCATGTCTCCGCCCTCGTCACCTCCGCCACCGGTGGGCAGCATTGGTGGCTTTCCTCCGTCTATGGTCCCCAAGATGACGCGGCCAAGGTGGAGTTTCTTGCGGAGTTGCACAACTTTCGCCTCACCTGCGCGGGCCCTTGGCTTGTTGGCGGTGACTTCAACATGATCCTCTTCTGCGGATAAGAATAATAATCGCCTGCACCATCGCTCCATGAGCCGTTTTCGCCGCTTCGTTGCCGACATGGAGCTCTCTGACATGTATCTCCATGGTCGGAGGTACACTTGGTCGAACGAGCAGGACTCGCCCACCCTCGTGCGCAACGATCGGGTCCTCTGCACTCCTAGTTGGGACGCGTGCCAGCCTGGTTGCTCTCTCCGCTGCCTTGCCTCGACGACCTCTGATCATGCCCCACTCTTGGTGGATTGTTCCCAGCAGACGGGTGTTCGCAGGCACTTTCACTTTGAGCGTTTTTGGTTGAAGCTTGATGGCTTCCAGGAAGTGGTGGCGGAGGCATGGAATGCCGAGCCTCCGGACGCCGACCCCTTTCGCCGGTTGTACCAGCGCCTCAAATTCACTGCTCGTCGCCTCCAAAGTTGGAGTGCACGGCGAGTAGGCTCGGTTTCTCTCCCGCTCCAGGTCGCGCGTGAGCTCATTGCCCGGCTTGACGCGGCGATGGATCTGCGGCCCCTCTCCCCGCTCGAGACTTGGTTGCGTAGAAACCTAAAGCTCAAATACCTAGGCCTCGCGTCCCTTGAGCGCACGATCGCCCGACATCGCGTGCGCCTGTCCTGGCTCCACGAGGGGGACGCTAACTCGACCTTCCTCAAGATTCGTGCCTCTCACCGTTTCCACAAGAAGAGGATCAGGTACCTGCATGTGGGCGACGTGCTTGTTTCTGATGAGGCCGGTATGGCGGAGGCTGCCTTCCATCACTTTGCCGGCATTCTGGGTGCGGCTGATCCGCGCGACTCCACCCTCAACCTCGAGGCTTTTGATGGTTGTTCCTTGAACCTTTCGTCCCTCGAGGTACCTTTCTCCAAGGCTGAAATTTGGGAGGCGGCCAAGCAGCTCCCGTCTGGCAAGGCGCCAGGCCCCGATGGCTTCACGACCGAGTTTCTTCACGCTTGTTGGGACGTCATCAAGAAGGTCATATGCGATGCTTTTGATAAGCTTTTCCACATGAACGGCATGGGCTTCCAGAAGCTCAACGAAGCCTTCATCACCCTTCTTCCCAAGAAGCCTGACGCTGCCTCGCTTTCGGACTACCGGCCGATTAGTCTCATTCATCTCCTAGCCAAGCTCTTCGCCAAGGTCTTGTCGCTCCGGCTCGCCCCTCGTCTCAATGCCATGGTTTCTTCCAACCAGAGCGCCTTCATCAAGGGCCGCAACATCCACGACAACTTCATCCTTGTTCAGCAGACCGCTCGTCAGCTCCACAACATGCGCGCCCCGCGTGTGCTCCTCAAGCTCGACATTACGCGCACCTTCGACTCGGTCTCCTGGCCGTTTCTCCTCCAGGTCCTACGCCACCTTGGCTTCGGTCCTCGATGGCGGGAATGGATCTCCATCCTTCTCTCCACTGCCAAGACCCGTGTTCTGATCAACGGCAATTCGGGCCCGCCAATCCATCATGAGAAGGGCTTGCGCCAAGGCGACCCTGTCTCCCCGATGCTTTTCGTGCTGGTCATCGACGTCCTCAACTCCCTCCTTCAATTCGCCACTAGCTCCGGCGTGTTGCGTCGCCTCACCGAGCGCCGGATGGCCTCGAACATCTCCTTGTATGCTGACAATGTGGTCATCTTCTGTCACCCTGACCCGCACGAGCTCATCGTCGTCCGTGAGCTGCTCCGCATTTTTGGTGCTGCCTCCGGCCTCCACACGAACTTCCAGAAGTGCTCTGCCTCGCCTATCTAGTGCTCGGACGCGCAGCTGGCGCATGTCGCGGGCATGCTCTCCTGCCCGATCATGCACTTCCCGATAACCTACTTGGGCGTTCCCCTCTCGGTCCGGAAGGTCTCTGCGGCTGCTCTTATGCCCCCGGTGGAGCGCATGGCCCGCAAGCTTCCTACTTGGCGCGCTTCGCTTCTCTCCCGCGACGAGAGACTGGCCTTCGTCTAGCATGTGCTTGCCGCCATGCCCACCCACCTCCTCATGGCCATGGCTTTGCGGCCTTCCATCCTGAAGAAGATCAACCGCATCATGCGTGAGTTCCTTTGGCACGGCGGCAGCGATTCCTCGAGCGGTGGCAATCTTGTCAGCTGGCGCAAGGTGTGCCGTCCCCTGGAGTTTAGGGGCCTGGGCATTCGGGACCTCCAGCTCACGGGCATTGCTCTCCGCGCTCGCTGGCTTTGGCTTAAGGCCACCGACGCCTCCAGGCCGTGGAGACATCTCCACATCCCGGCTGACACTGATGTTCAGGTTATCTTCAACGCATCCACGATGTGGATCGTGGGGGACGGCAACTCCTGCCACTTCTGGACGGACAGGTGGATCGATGGGCAGTCTGTCGCCGATCTCGCTCCGGCTGCGCTCGCCTTGGTCCCTAAGAGTTTCTGGCGGACGCGTTCTGTTGCGCAGGGCCTGCTGGGCAGGGCCTGGATCTCCGACATCCGTGGCGCCTTGGGGCCTGTGGCCCTGGTTCATTACGTGGAACTCTGGCGACGCCTTCAGCATTTCCCCCTTTCCTCCGACCCCGATGAGCTACGTTGGCGTTGGACGAGCAGCGGCACCTACTCCGCCAAGTCCTGCTATCAGGCATTGTTCTCCGGCTCCACCATTGTCCCGCACTGGAAGCTCACTTGGCGTACCTGGGCCCCTCTCTGCATCCGGTTCTTTGCCTGGCTGGCTGGTATGGACCGCTGCTGGACTGCTGCTAGGCTCGCTCGCCATGGGCTCCCGCATGACGATCTCTGTGCGTTATGTGCCCAGGAGCTCGAGACGATCGACCACCTGCTCCTCCACTGCTCTTTCTCCAGGACCATCTGGCACGAGATTTTTGCTTGGTGCCGTGCCCCGACCCCCCTCCCCCAGGACCCGGAGGATTCCTTCCTGGACTGGTGGTCGTCCTCGGTCGCGGCTGCGCCTACCGCCATGCGCAAGGGGCTCTCCTCCCTGGTGCTTCTTACCGCATGGTCCTTATGGCGCCACCGCAACACATGCATCTTCGACAACGCGAACCCCTCCACAGCGCTTCTTCTTCAAGCTATCAAGGACGATGCCAGGGTTTGGGCCTCTGCCGGTGCCAAAGACATAGCTAATCTCATGCCTCCTTGAGCTCCTACGGG